TTTTTTGACCTTCAGAGAAATATGCATGTCTTTTGAATGTGCAGAGTAAACCTACTCATAAAGGAGATATAAATCGCATTAAGCAAGCCTGATGCGATAAGCTCTAATCGAGCAAGGGGCAATCGATCACAAATCTCCATGTGGAAAACCACTCACCCAACCTACTCAGTCAATTCTCAAAGATAGACGTATATCACTACCTTTATTTTTACTCTAATAAATGTGGAGAGTGATTCACGTAATAAAAGGAAGAGTGCTAGTAATAACATGTGATCATACCTTTTCTAAGCATTTATATATATACATAGTTTGAATTAGATGTAATGGATTCAATTAAATTCATAGAATAAGAGGGTACCTTTTTTGCAAAGGGAAAGATCAGGTTTAGCACCACAAGCTTTTGCAAAATTTAAAGCTTCATCTTGAGTTACATTCATACTTTTCATGACATCAGAATTACCAAACACAGTGCAAAGGCATTGTGCATCATTTGATATCATTTCTTTCAATGGCATACAGCATGTTGCTGGAGGATTTTTCATATGTGCTGCCAATGCTGGTTGACATGGCATTAGTTTTTGCACGCATGGCATTGCAGAAACACTACCACTACCAACACCACTAGCTAAAAACGCAACGATCGTATTTTTATCCAGATGAATTCCATGAGAAAAACCCATCAAAAAACATGTCAAAATCACAACAACACATGATTTGGGATATGCTGCCATGGGTTAATTCTCTTGGAATATGAATATATGTGATATGAGGTTATTGGAAATGTGCATATATATAGGAGGAATGTTAAAATGTAAGGTAACTGCTTATTTTATTTCAAACCGTATTTTCAGGCAGTTACAAAAAACATAATCATTTTTTAATCTATTATTTGTGCTATCCGTGTGTCTGTATCTAGAACATTCCATAATTTTCGTTATTACTGGTGGTGACCAAGTCCCTACATTAAATTACTAAAATTTAGGCAATTTTTTTTACTTATTAAGGTCTGCGGCCATTTAATTAAACTTGGAAATTTAACACTAATGGTCACAAATTATAATAAGAATACATAACACGTAGTTATGATTAGGAAATAAAAGCTTATATCAAAGACATGTATATTGCATTCATAAATGTAGTGCAAACATTAAGTTTCCTTTAAGATAACTGCAATTTCAAGATAAATATGACCATGCCAGAAACACGAAAAGAATATTGTTCCACTAAATATAATGCAAGAGGTCATTTGGTGTGAAAGAATACATAAAATAGTCCACGGATTAAATTATAGTGCCACTTAATTTACTGTTTGGTTGACATGTCCAGTATAACTTATCCCAGAATAAAACAAGTAAATGACAAAAATTTCCTTTTAAACCTTTTTTATACATCACTTTTCATATTCATGAAGGGTACTTTTGTAAAAAAAAATTGTCCTTAAAATTTATGCAAAGCCTATTATTTTGAATACAA